AAACATTCAGCACATTTTCCACTTGCTCTTAAAATCCCAAATACTTAAAATGAATAAATCAGCCTATGTAACATATGTAATACTTTAATAATTGACTTAAGAAATACAGTTCTTTATTTATAAACAAATAAACAAATATTTTCTGTGAAATTCAGTAATTAAGTTAATTCTGTACAAGTAGTTATACCATTATAATATTGCCTGCTGAAAAAAAAAAACATTAGAACCCCTCCCAAAACACAATAACAAATGTAATGGATTTGAGGGTTATAATGGGAATTGTATTGGTTTTAAACTATAATGGTGTTTATTTGATGGATTCTATTGGTGGGATGTAATCTGGCAGATGGCAACCAATAGAACAACAGTAATTCCTATTGGAATAATGTCCAAAACAAAAATGAATTTTGTAATGGTTTAATTAATGGAAACTATAAGAATTTCTGTGATAGTTTCTATTGTTTTTTTCAGCAGGGTAATGATACCCATACTGTGCTGCACATTATTGGCAATATTGAGCTGAAGCTTGACTTTGTAAATTTAAAAATGGCAAATCAAATCGCAATCACAATATCTGTCAAAAAAAATCGCAATTTGATATTTTCTCCCTAAATCGCACAGCCCTAGTTCCAAGTGAACCGTACAGTTACCAAAACGTGACATGTAAACTCTGCTGATCACGGATTGGCCGGAGAGAATCGTCACTACCTGCGTCACTGAACTTGCGCCACAAACACAACAGAACCGCTAGATTTAAATCAGCACAGCCAGCGAAGGATCGAACGCAACTGTTTTGAACGAGCGCACCTTTTTTTAACAACCAAAAAGTTTTGTTGTCTGTTGCGGAAGAACAGACATTCCTCTCGTTGATAGCAGAGGACGGATCCAGCGAGAGTTTGATGGGGCAACGTGGAATGAAAACGTTTTTTTTAAGAGTTGTGGCAGTATAGGCGGCACAACTATAACGACATGTGAATAATCCCACCCACTCTTAAGCGGTACTGAACTGCAGTGGAAACGCAAACCGAGCCGAACCGTGCCGTGCTCTCAGTGTGTTGTGATTGGCTAAACCGCCCCTCCTGCACGTCTAAACGTCCCGCCCCTCACCTTGGCGGCATGTGCTCCGGTTGTATTGTAAACAACGCCGTCGTTAATATCGCTTATCAGTTTGAGCCCTATTGAGAAGCAGAGGATATTATTGAAGAGGATCGTGCAGAAACTGTGCAAGCATGGCTTTTAATGGTAGGCCTGTTTTTTGTTTGTTGATGTCTCATACTTTTAGATACACTGTTATTTGTAAATGCTACTGCTTCTGTTAGCTTTTAACATACGGTTTTAATACAGTACGGCAACTGCATGCGCGTCCGTGTTTAACGCTTCTCACAGCTATGTGAAAATAAGTGTATAATTGGAACAGTTCATTGTTGGAGCTGAGCTGAATGAGAG